GGGCTAGGGGAGGAGACAAGGAACTAGGACACAAACACAGGGAAGAGGAGACGGTGGAGCTAGGAGGCACAGTGAGGAGATAGGAGGCACAGTGAGGAGATAGGAGGCACGGTGAGGAGATAGGAGGCACAGTGAGGAGCTAGGAGGCACAGTGAGGAGATAGGAGACACAGTGAGGAGATAGGAGGCACAGTGAGGAGATAGGAGGCACAGTGAGGAGATAGGAGACACAGTGAGGAGATAGGAGACACAGTGAGGAGGCACAGTGAGGAGCACAGTGAGGAGATAGGAGACACAGTGAGGAGATAGGAGACACAGTGAGGAGATAGGAGGCACAGTGAGGAGATAGGAGACACAGTGAGGAGGCACGGTGAGGAGGTAGGAGGCACAGTGAGGAGATAGGAGGCACAGTGAGGAGATAGGAGGACACAGTGAGGAGATAGGAGACACAGTGAGGAGATAGGAGACACAGTGAGGAGATAGGAGACACAGTGAGGAGGCACAGTGAGGAGATAGGAGGCACGGTGAGGAGATAGGAGACACAGTGAGGAGGCACAGTGAGGAGATAGGAGGCACGGTGAGGAGGTGAGGAGGCACAGTGAGGAGATAGGAGGCACAGTGAGGAGATAGGAGACACAGTGAGGAGATAGGAGGCACGGAGGAGATAGGAGACACAGTGAGGAGGCACAGTGAGGAGATAGGAGGCACGGTGAGGAGGTAGGAGGCACAGTGAGGAGATAGGAGGCACAGTGAGGAGATAGGAGATAGGAGACACAGTGAGGAGATAGGAGGCACGGTGAGGAGGTAGGAGACACAGTGAGGAGATAGGAGGCACGGTGAGGAGATAGGAGACACAGTGAGGAGGCACGGTGAGAAGATAGGTCTAAACCAGGTCTAAACCAGGTCTAAACCAGGTCTAAACCAGGTCTAAACCAGGTAAACCAGGAACTAAACCAGGTCTAAACCAGGTCTAAACCGGGTCTAAACCAGGTCTAAACTAAACCGGGTCTAAACCAGGTCTAAACCGGTTAAACAGGACTAAACCAGGGTCTAAACCAGGACTAAACCAGGTCTAAAAACCAGGTCAAACCAGGAACTAAACAGGTCTAAACCAGGACTAAACCAGGAAAACAGGACTAAACCAGGTCTAAACCAGGTCTAAACCAGGACTAAACAGGTCTAAACCAGGGTAAACCAGGTCTAAACCAGGTCTAAACCAGGACTAAACCGGGTCTAAACCAGGACTAAACCAGGTCTAAACCAGGTCTAAACCAGTCTAAACCAGGTCTAAACCAGGGTCTAAACCAGGTCTAAACCAGAACTAAACCAGGTCTAAACCAGGTCTAAACCAGGCTAAACCAGGACTAAACCAGGTCAAACCAGGGTCTAAACCAGGACTAAACCAGGTCTAAACCAGGTCTAAACCAGGACTAAACCAGGTCTAAACAGGACTAAACCAGGAAACTAAACCAGGACTAAACCAGGTCTAAACCAGGTCTAAACCAGGTCTAAACAGAACTAAACCAGGTCTAAACCAGGACTAAACCAGAACTAAACCAGGACTAAAACCAGGTCTAAACCAGAAAACCAGACTAAACCAGGAAACCAGGACTAAACCAGGACTAAACCAGGACTAAACCAGGTCTAAACCAGGACTAAACCAGGTCTAAACCAGGACTAAACCAGGACTAAACCAGGACTAAACCAGGTCTAAACCGGGGGTCAGACCAACGCTGCAGGAGGAGGAGGAGGAGACGAGGGGGCAGGAGCTAGGATGCAGCAGCAGCAGCAGCGGCAGAGTCTGGACGCGGCCGCTCGACAGTGAGGACGCACGGCGAGGAGCTAGGAGGCACAACGAAGACCTAGGAGGCGCGGCGAGGACCTAGGACGCACGGCCAGGAGCTAGGAGGCAGCAGAGGAGGAAGGAAGGAAGGAGGAAGGAAGGAAGGAGGAAGGAGGAGGATGCAGTGAGGAGGTTTTTGTTTTTTGTTTTCGTTTTTCGGAGCCGTTTTTCGCGTCTGGGTTTTCGCGGGTTTGGGGTTCGGTCGCCGTTGACGATGGGCTGCTGGCTCTCGGGACCGTGGAGCGACCAAACGGTGAGAAACCCCTCCACCCTCCTTCATCCCTCCTTCCTTAATCCTTCCTTCATCCCTCCTTCCTTCCTCCATCCCTCCGTCTCCTCTCCTCCTCGCGCGTCTCCATTTTGTCCGTCTGCGTCGTCGCGCTCTCGGCTCCGCGTCGTGTTTTTTCCTCCGTCTCCCTCCCTCGCTCCTCTCCTCCTTTTCTTTCCTGTCCTTTCCTTTCCTCCTCTGTTTTTCCTCCTTCCTTCCTCCTCTCCTCTTTTTCGTTCTCTCGCTCGTTCCGTCGTTCCGCACACTCTGTTCCCGTCGCGTCGAAAACCTGTTACGGCCTCCGTCATCCCTCGTTCCAAACATCAGCCTCCTCCATCTCTCCTCCATCCCTCCTCCATCCATCCCTCCTTCATCCCTCCATCCCTCGTGTTTGTTTGACATCTGGAGTGAAAACAACACCACCACGTCTTTCCCTCCCTCCGTCCTCCTTCTCTCTCTTCTCTTTCCCTTCCTCATTCCTTCACTCCATCCCTCCTTCTCTCTCTCCTCCCTCCTTCCTTCCTTCCTTGTCTCCCTTCC